GGAAAGAAGGCATTAAGCTATGACAGACCAGAGGAGGACAGAAGTTTAGCCAACTATTTTCTCTCAACACTGAAGCAAAGCAACTTATTCCAAGTTCTTGATGATAATATTGTATGCGAAGGAAGCAGTGAGGAGTTAACATCAGTTGCTATGCTTGCGAAAAGTTGTTTACATGTTAAAGGGGAGGATAGACCGAGTATGAAGGAAGTAGCCATGGAACTTGAAGGTCTGAGATTAGCAGGAAAACACTCGTGGAACCAAACAGAACCCATTGAAGAAGAGTCGGAATCGCTGCTTTCTGGGAAAATGAATGCCTTTGCAATTGCAAATGGTGAGGGTAGTAGCACAGCTATTGGATATGAGAGCATGAGGGATCATATTATTTTACCTATGGGTGGTGGGAGATAATATGTAGCAATGTGGAGTGACGTTATATAGTACTGGCGAGATTGGCATTATATTGTTGTCGAGTTAATTTATGATTTATCCTGTGTTAGTTTCTCTGTTGAGTTTATATATGATTTCTTATACGGTTATTAATCTTATTTGGTTTTGATATTACGACGGTAATCCTGCCTCGATTCCAGCAAGGAGTCAATAGCTCTCATTTATCATTGATTTCTTCTTAGAATAGGCCAAAAACCATTTGGTGTTTTATTTTAGACATGATTTTGACAACTGGAAACTTTCTTACGAATAAAAAAAATATTCGGCCCCCTTTTGTGGCCAATAAAGGACACATGTTATGGAAACCGGAATAATTCAATACCAATTTGTTGTGAAAATATAAGAGATTAAGTGCAATATGAAGTAACGATTACAAAAACAAAATAATTTGCAAAGAATAAAGACTTTATTATAGTATAAAAAGAATACAAATATTATATGTTTACAAAGTTTCTAACTTCTTCTATATTCTACTAAAATACAATGAAAAGCCAACTATATATATGGAACAATTGGAGACGTTCAACCCGTCATAGTAGAGTTGTAGATGAAATAGAATGTCAAAAATGAAGTCCAAAACAGAAAAGGAGACCAAAATAGTGCAGGAAACGAAACAGGTGGCGTCGTGGTGCTGAGATGCTGGGCAGTTTTCTTCCGACGCTGCAGCACCCACTCTCGGGTATTTTACTCCAAAAACTTAATTTTCTTTATTTCAAAGTCTTCTTTAAATTCAACACAAATTCTTACTCTCAATGGGCTTCTAAGAAGAAATTCAATTAGAATTTGCCAAGAAAACTTGAATAGGATTTCACAATTGCATTTCGGATAGGCTTCTAATTAATATGCACTTTAATTAGAACTTCCAGTTATTTTCAACGAAGAATTTGGATCACACCCAAATTCTAATAGGACAAGACAAATACTTGCAAACTGACATAAGAACCCATTCTTGAAAACCTATTTTTAGGTTATAATTCTGTTATTAGAATACAATCCAGGAAATAGAAGTTGGATACTCGTGCTTTTCTAGAGTCCGACAACATTAAAGATGATTCGGTTATCATCCATTTGAAGATGTAGAGTCTATTTCTCTAAGATTGAAACTTCAATGCTTTATAACACTGAATGAGAATTTGTTTTGTATTTTTCACAGAACTCCAACTCCTAATCTTTGTTGTATATTTTCAAAATCAGCTTATAAACAAATCTGTAAAATCAGATTGCCGTAAACAAACAGTATACATTAATGCAAAGTAGGTTTCGTCAATGAAGGAATTGGTCCTCTAAACACTTCATAAAGGAGACTTTTCTAGTCAAGATTAGATGTTCGTTGACTATCCAAAGACTTGCAAATTTACAAAAGAATCCATTCTAGCAAACATCTTTTCAATTTTATAATTCCTCGGTTGTGAGTCTGTTACTACAGCAAGAGCCTGTTATGATCAGAATGGCACCGGAGTAGCCCAAAATGAAATTTCCATACAATTGACCTGAGGCCTCGCCGATAATACCACAAATAAGTTCACCTTGATTGTGATACTAATGCTTTTGTGCATGGTCACCTGTTTAGCAAGAAATTTTATCGCACAGGCACACACAGGGTTTTTTATGTGGGATTGCCCAAAGAATAATGCTAAATGTACACAATCTTTTACACCTCTCTCACATGGAGGGGAGCCCACACATAATAAAATAATCGTGGACCCCTCTCCATGTGAGAAAGGTGTAAAAGATTGTGTAAAAGTGTGTATGTACATGTAGCATTACCCTTGCCCAAATGGTTAACATGGCAAATAAAAAAAAGGATTGACGAGGTTGCCTTGTTGGTGAAACACTTGTAATAAAACTTGTCGCAGGTTGGCCCAATTGTTGCATGGATGCAGCTAGCCTTTACATTTCACCCTTGCTATTAGAATTGACTCCCACAATGGTTCTAAGCTTGGTGGTTTTAAAAATTAGTTATCTATAGAAGAAAGTTGTATTGATATTGTAGAATTCACTCTTAAAATCAACGTAAAGTTGTCTCTGTCTTGTCTAGTAGATACTTTGGATGTTAATTCGGAATCAATTATAATAATAATAATAATAATAATAATAATAATAATAATAAGGTCACATGGAATACAATTAGTGACACTGCAACTTCCAAAAAAAAAAATAGGAGTTGCGTTGACCTTTAATTGACTCTAGTTTTTACTCGAATAAATGAATAATAGTGTACGACTCGTTGAATTCTCATAATATGTCTAACGTGCCTAGATCTAATCTTTGTTTGATTTTAAGTACAGTGAATTCAAATTTGATTACTGTGTTTGACAAAATTTATATTTCATTTGGGATTGGCAAAGAGATTGCTAGTACAGAACGACTAATTGCTTTTAGTTTTATAGTTTCATTATACTAAATTGCCCAAAAGAATGAATATTGATACCTGACTTATAACCTTTTTAATCACGTGTCCTTTTTCAATTTTTAGCACATCATTTTCACAATAAGAGAGCAGTCTTGAAGCTAACGTAAAAGGATGGACCTTGCTACACTGCCGAGCCACGGCACTGCCAAGGCCCATGTGGCCCAGGCAAAGTGGATAAACCCTACAAGGATATACTCTAAGAATCAATGTTATTGGGCTTGGTGCCAGGTGGTTATGTTTCGTACTCCGAAAAAGATAGTCGATCAATGCTCGAAAAACTGGAATCAGATTAATCTAGATCTAGTTCACATGAATTAACTATCCTATGTTGAATTGCCGATTTGTATTAAATCAATAACGTAAACAAAGATATATGGTTGGGTAATCAAAGATATATGGCTGGGCCATTTATTGTGGATATTGGGTAATCAAAGATATATGGTTGGGCCTAAGGTTTTTAAATAAAAGAGGCCCATTACTCATCAAGGGCCCAAACTAAAAATAACCCAGTTGCCATTCATCTTCCTCAGCTTCTTTCTTCCACTTCCATAATTCTGCCTCTGCAACTGCAAGACTGAACGTGACTGCCAACTACTACTGACATATCAAAAAATGGCCCAAACCATTGATAACTCAACAAAACAAAAAT